GAGGACACGCAACACTGTACCCGAGTGTCCACCCGCAGAGGACGGGCATGGGACACGTGGTCCTGTCCACACAGCAGACATCTCTCAGTCAGGACAGACATGCAGTGCTGATGCTCACCAGCAGGAGACGCTGGCAACACCCCGTTTTGTGAGTAACACCTGCCACCTGTGAGCTGGTCCCGCACAGAGAATGGAGGAACATGGTCCCTCAGCTCAGTCCACAGGCTCAGAGCCGACCCTCGAGGAGCCCGCCCATCCGTCCGTCTCCCCCAGAGCAGCTGGTGTCTTTGAACCGCCAGAGAGGTGCTTCCTCTGGGTCAGAAGCAGTTCCCTGAGGACCAGGCCACCAGCATGCCCAAGAGAACATGCTGTGGGCAGTCAAGTCAGAACTGACCCGCAGCTGACCCTCCAGTGGGTTTTCAGAGGCTGTAAACCGCACTGGAGGAGACTGCCCATCCATCGGGGAGCAGCTGGTGGAAGTACAGCAGAAATGCCCAGTGATGTGAGAGGGCAGGTGGGAGGTGGGACGGTGTGCACCTGCTCACACTGGAGTGGCCGGGACAAGATCACAGTGGCTACACAACAGACCGTCCTCAGAGGCCCCGAGCCACACGTGTGGAAACTGCTGAATCGACACACATGTTTGTATTTTCACCACGACTGGTGTCAGGTTGTGGGGAGCCCAGGGGGCGAGGAGGGGCAAGGCAGGACACACCATGCCAGAGAGCATCCCGCAACAGGGCCAGCTCAGCTGCACACCTTCCCTCTGCTCACTCCTTCCAGGAGTCGCCCCAAGAAGATGGCCCGAGGGTCAGAACGGGCCCCGCCCGCACGGCACCCCCACACCTACCCAAGCTGTACGCGGAGCAGGCGTCCGGCTGACACGTCCTCAGCACCCGTCTGGCGTCCGCCTCTGAGAATCGCCCTTCATGCCTGAAGAACGACCGCTCTTCCTCATTGAGGAAGATCACGTTTTCCAACCTGGAAAGAGCAAAGCACTGCCTTAGAACAGTGTTTCCATCACAAAGACTCCCTGGCATGGACTCATTTCTGCTCCCCCACGAGACAGACAGCAAGCACACAGCACAGCCCACCCACCAGGAGTGCCCTGCCAGCCAGAACAGAAGTCCTGGTGTGGGATAAGCTTGGAGCAGGGGGGTGAAGCAGTGAGCCCAGGCTTCCTGGACTGGTGAACTCCTACACAGCCTTCAAAACCCCACCTGGAATGCCCCTCCCTGTGACACGTGCTGGGGAGGTTGCAGGGAGCACTGATCCACCACACTCCACTGAGGCCTCAGAGCTCCTCCCGGAGCTGTGCTGGGGCTTCCCACAGCCCAGCACAGACACTGGACTTGATCTGCTGACCTCAGAGAAAGAGGAAACACAGGAAGGGCAGGGAGGGGAGTTCTGCTGAGTGAGCAGGAGTGCACAATGTGTCACACACTTGGGCGTGTGGAAGGAGTCATGCGAGTGAAAGGAAATCCTGCCCTTAGAGGGACTTACGAGACGATCTACAGAAAAACAGCTCTGCATTCCTTACAAGATCAGGAAGACAGAGGAATGTTCTGGATCAAAGCACAGGAAGAGACAGGACAGTCAGAGGTGACATCTGAGTTGGGATTGTAAGTGGTGGCGATGGGATACTGTCAAAATCGGAGTGAGGTCTGTGGGTCAGGTAATAATGATAATTTTAAAGTGACAAAATAAAAAATGCTCAAATCCAGTTGTCATCAGGCTCAGTGTGACCCCACGGGTGCAGAGAACTGCGTCACAGAACTGGTCTCAAAGCTGAGACTGTTCATAAGCAGACTGCCAGGCCTTTCTTCTGAGGCACTCCTGGGAGGATTTGAACTCCTGACCTTTCAGTTAGTGACCACACAGTCACCGCCTGTGTCATTTGAGGTGATGACAGGGCTGCACTGATGCTAACTCCTGAGTCTGTGGCTGCAGACGAGGACCACTCCGACCGCTCACTTCTCTTTACAAATACATCATTTGGAGACCCTGCCCCTTCTTTTCCTCTTTGTTGTTGTTACGTACTGTCAAGTCACTTCTGACTCACAGTGACCCTGTGAACGACAGCTCTGAACCCTGCTCTGCTCTGAGCCAGCCTCATCGTTTCCAACACACCTACCCCCATTACCCCAGTGACTGAATCAATCCACCTCATCGAGGGTCTTCCTCTCCTGTGCTGTCCCTCCACCCTCCCAAGCATGACGTCCCTCTCCAAGGTCTGTTCCCTCCTTGCATCATGTCCAAAGTATGTCAGATGAACCCTCTCTACAATGAATCTGTTTGTTCTCCTAGCAGTCCATGGGATATTCAGTACTCTTCTACAGAACTGCAGCTCAAAGGCATCAATTCTTTATGATCCCTAGTCACAGTCCAACTATCTGATGCATGGCAAGTAATTGTGAAGACCATGGCCTGGATCAGGCGCACCTTAGTCTCCAGACTGATATCATTGTTCTTCAGTACTCTGGAGGGGTCCCTGACAGTAGACTTTCCCAATGCAATACGTCTTTTAATTTCCTGGCTGCTGGTACCAAGAGTGTTGATTGTGGATCCAAGTAAACTAAAACTGCTAACAATCTCAAACTCTTCACCATCTATTATGGTGCTGCCATTTGGCCCAGTGATGAGAATCTTTGTTTTTTTGATGTTGAGCTTCAATCCATATTGAAGGCTGCAGTCCTTGACCTTCTGCAGCAAGCGCTTCAGGTCCTCCTCAGTTTCCTAGCTCAGCATTTCTTAAGCTGAAGAAGCTGAAAAACTAATTCAAGCCACAAGTTGGCAATACTTAAGGATGCTTTAAGTAGAATGTTAAATGATCCA